ACGCATCAAAACAAGCTGCAATACTAAATATATATTTTAGATGGATCTTTCAAAAATTTTTTTTGTCTCATTTTTCAAATAGCTTGGATTTATATGTTTATTTTATTTTTCTTGAGAATAAAGTGGATACTGCAAAATTCCGAGTTGGAAACACATCCTGAATGGACAGTATTCGTTAGACACTTAATTCATCTGATGGAAAATTCTCGATGTATGCGCCGCATTCTCGCCTACTAATTATGTTTTGCCTTTTTTGGCAAATACGATTACATAAAACCTTTTTAACTGAAATAAATTTCGTGCATTTTTGCAAAAATTAATGAGTTAGCTGTACAGCACGTGATGGTATATGCTAGATACTAATCGATTTTCCTGTATAAGGGCGACGACCCATTCAATTATATCAGTGAAGGACAGATTTCAAAAGCCAAAGCCACATCGAAGCCAAAAAGCTAAGCTTTCATTACCGCTAGCAATCTTCAGTTTTTCCTCAGTTCATACAGAGATTTTGGATTTTACTATACAATATAGGGACTCAGATTAATGCTGACTAAAAGGAACAAAATTAAAATAAATGGAAGCATTGCATTCCGTCATTTCGTCGAGAAAAGCATTAGCAACGATTGATATTATATTTCAGAATGTACACATTCGTGTTGCTGCTGTGAACCATCGGATCAGCCTTCATTCGAATCAGTTCCTTTCTTTTTTTTATTAGCAATTTTGCTCATTAAAGAACTTTTTTTTTGTAAAACGAATACATTACGACGTAAGAGAACTGTATACTGTTAAATTACATTAATGTGTTTAAATTAAGTGGCACAAGCGATAATAATATATTTAATATTTAAATTAACTTTAGCACCTTTATATTAACTTTAGAAGTAATGTAATAATGAATTAATATAAGAAAGAAGTGAACTGGCGTGTGAGCGGATCATCAAGTGAGCATATAATCTGGGAATTAAGTTATCCAATTAATTATGCTCTCGCTAGAGCATCGTAAATTATATTTTATAGCAATCATATTCTCAAAAGTTTGAAACATTCAAAGAGTTAAAACTATGAAATTCAGTAAATTAGGTAATAAATTATTCATATATGTTATGCACTGATGCATCGAAATAATAGAAGACATCCAAAATGAATAGAGTCAAACAACTCATTGACTTCATCACAGTATTCTGATTCGATTGTACTCTAATATGAGGTTTACTATGTATAAACTACAGATGTTACCAATGATTGCAAATCCAAAGAACATTGTTAAAGATTAAGATAAGCGCTTCTTACTTACTAATCCAAAAGAAAAAACCTAATAAAAGTCAATGTTCTCCTTGGATTTTAAATTTAATAAACATTTAGTAGAAATTTTTTAAATATTAAAACTCTCGATAATATGGATGCAGAATGATCTACACCACATACACATATATGAGATCAGAGATGGCATGAAATTCGGAGTCAGAAAACTGATTGTTTCAAAGCATTCATTTGATAAATTTTCCCGTTTGTTTACTTCAATTCCGTTGAACTTTTAAAGTTTTTAACATTTACTATAAAAAAAGAAAATCATTACACTTAAAAACGTTTAAAAGACTCTGCTAGTCTTGATACCAACAAGCTATTGCATGTGAGCTGCTTTTAAAACATTTTGAAGTTTATAGTCTTTTTTTCTTGTTCAAATCGATTATTTTTGTGGTAAAAGTTCTTTAGAATTTTTACAATTGTTTGAAACATTCGTAGATTTATGAGCTGGAGAAACAGATTTCAAATGGTTTTCACTGCTTTTTGAATTCAAAGAATTGTTCTTCTCGCTGAATCAACTTCAAGATTTTTCTGAGCCATAGAAATTATGCTAAAACTCGCACTCCCTAAAAAATTATATCTTGCAGTATATGAATATCAAACAGGTTTCTTAAGTAGATAAAATAAAGAAAAATATAAAATACTTGAGTAGGTAAAATAAAAAAATATAAAAAAGAAAAATATACTAAGCTGTAATTGTAGTTTTAAAATTAATGGCAATTTTAAATTATCAGTACTGATTCTAAGCAACAAGCCGCAGCATGCTTCCAAATGAATAATGCTTGCGCTCGGTTACCGCAATCTACCAATGTTATGCACAACACAACATTGGGTAACAATCCAGAAAATGAAAGTCGTAGTTCCGATGGTGAGTTCTCCTAACCCCAGTTTTCTTGCTTTTCGTTTTTTTGCACTTCTAAAGTAGATCATTACTGGATAGCTAAAATATGAAAGTGGTTCAAACAACCAGCCCTGATGATAGATAAGCTTTCAAGCATCCATCCTTACACACTCGAATATCTGATTCTAGCAAACAGCCATAGCTGTGATTAGAAATGGCCATGAATGGGAACAGGATCCTTTCACCTTTCCTACTCTTATACATATCTTTTGTATTTGCTAGATTGTTTATTCAACTTCTACAACATCAACGTTTGTATATGTCTGAATGCCATACATCCATAAATTGTGAATAACGGCCTGAGCATCATGCATCATTGAATTCCCAAACACAGCTAGATCCATCTCCCCCTTCCTATTCAAAATTATTCGAGAACAGAAAGAAAAACAAAAATGAATCACCACTCCCCTAAAAAAAATTGATTACAGACATTCAAATTAAGTCAAAAACTGTCAAATCTTACTGCCAAAACGAAAAATCCCAATTAAAAAAATTTTACAATTTCAGAAAGATGCTTCCTTCGATGTGTACATTGTCCACCATCAATTGCAACTTCAACTGTATGATAATGTATGACTAAAATGCACAAATATGCAATTTTTAAACTGTTTGGCGTGATGAAAACAAACATTTGCAGCAATCTGCTTGGCTTTTTAGTTGATGTGTTCACTTCTACCATTTTCAGGATATTCAATCCTCCTACTTCCTTTGTAAAAAGTGAATATTAACACTGCGTGTGATACAATAAAATAGAACAAGAAAAATCAACCAAAACATAAACAAAATTTACTCCAAAGCACACAAACGTAAATATACTCTGATTAGAAGGCGGAAATATTAGACTTAATAATAAGAGATAATACTGATAGCGTTAGGTGCACTGCAAGTCTATATGCTGATGATTAACACTGACGCCAATTGAACTGCCTCATAAACGAAAGAAAAAAGGCCAAGCGAATGAATAGCTTACTCGACAAAACAAAAATGGTAGGAAGTCAAATAATGTGCAGGACAACGTAAGGTCAAAAAAAAAAAAAAAAGGAAAACAGAAAAAACAGAGAAACCACAAATTCTAAAACCGAAATAGAATATGCATCCAGTGTTTAAAAAGAAAAAAAAAAAAAAAGCAGTAATAGAGGATCTTATTTAATATTTAAAAAACAATGAAAAACACTGGAGTTTAAATTAAAAACAAGCACCCATTAATTAGCTCTAACTCTCAGATGCATCTACGACTAAGGAAAAAAAAATCTGGAAACCCATATCGCCAAATATCAAACTGAGACTTTAAATAGGAACCATAAAATCGAGCAATCAACTCTTCAATAAATGCATCAGAGGCCAAAATAACATACTGAAAAGAAAAAAATATCAGATGAGAAAATCAAGCAATAAAAGAGAATAGGGAAAGGAAAAACTCTACATTTCTAATGCGGAGTTTTTCTTTTCTCCACATTAAAAATAAACTATAAAAAAGAAGGAAAACAAATTCAAAAAGAGATCTATGAATTGAACAACAATTCACAGAAAACCAAAAGAAAAAGGAATCAAATTTTTAAAAAACATTAACAACTAAAAGAAAAAGAGGCAAAACTTCACGACAGAAAAATGAACGAAAAAAAAAAATCAGAAAGAATTCCTTGTTACCAATAACCAAGCTCTGCTTCTCTTTCTGCAAACACTCTGAAATGAGTGACAAAAAATAAGTGGAAAAAAGTATTTCCATTTTATGCATACGAATCAGTCAATTCAAATCATCAATGATTACAAACAACAGCGATTCTTTTTTCATTGGGAAAAAGTTATCACAATGTGAATGAGATGATGAGATAATGAGTTCACACTTCATACTGCAACAGACTAACTGCCACCCGTTCGTGTATTGACGTGATGATATTAGATGAAGTTAGAAATAACCTAAATGTAAAAAAGCTTGATCTAAAAATAGCCCAAAAGAAAACACAAACGTTGCGAAGATAAAAGAAAAAAAAAAAAAAACTACTTGCTTATTCTAGTAGCGTAGAAAAGTAAAGGGACTGTTTTCTCCCAATTATAGGCAGTTTTAATTTTTTGACAGAGTCGAATATTTTTTTAACAACTAAGACACCCCAATCCCATACAGAGTGATTTTTCAGGTGATAAAATATGGCAGTGCAAAACCACTGCTGACAATAGCAATACATACCATTTCTAAATCACTGAGAGATGGGACTTCTACTCATATAATGCCATCAAACGGACTGAAAAAAAAAAAAAACGTCCGATATTTCCCTGTTTGGGAAATATCGGACGTTTTTTGTACAATTAAAAAATTAAACACTCGTACCTATAATACATAACAATGCTTGATCAAACCACCGATGCAGCTTCTCGATTTAAGGAACTTGGTAATAATCACAAAAATAAGTAAAAATCTAATGCAAAATCTAATTTTACTACATTTCGAATTCTTCCATTTAAATTAATTTTTTCATTTTAATTTCCAAAAACAAAATATTTCTTATAACTAAAGTCAAAAAAAAAAATCGCGATAAAGAAATTCACTGTGAGAATTAGGATGAAAAATTCCTCCATATTTAAATGAAATATATGTCAAAATAAGAAAATCAGATGATTTTTAGTCATGAAATTGGTAGTGCAATAGTGCAAAACCAAACACTAGTTAGATTTTCACATATCTAAGGAAAAAATGTGGCATATAAGAAAAGGGGACTAGATCTTTGGCATAAATATTTTTCAAACAATACTGTCGGCAAGATTGTGATGATGGATGTACCGGAATATATGCGAATCAATGCTTACGAGTTGCTGATGACACCACTTGAGATTTGAAAGACACCTTAAATTTTCATTGACATACTTATGTTTCGCTGGAGAAAACTTAGAAAATTTAATTCATTTACTAGTGAAATATTTTGAAAAATGATCCAATAATGGCTTGAAGTCTTTAATTTCTTCATAAATTATCTTAAAGTGGGCTAGCCCTTGAAGAAATAAAGTTTATAATTTTGAAATTCACTACCTGAAGAGTTCGATTACCCAGCTGCGTTCCATTTAGTGAAGTGATTGCTGTGACGGCATCTTCATACTGTCCCATTGTTACAAAGCCATATCCTTTGCATTTTCCAGTCGAGAAGTCTTTTATAATCTACAAATAAAATTTACGCCGATATAGAAACTTAAAAGCTGTATCTAAAATCAACAATGACAATGCTAAGCTTTAGAATTTATAAAGGTTTCCCATACTACTATATAACATAAACACTCATTATCCTTAAATATTCCCCCCTATTTTTCTCAAATATAATGTAGTGATGCTAAGTGCAATCCGTAATGACAATGCCTGCCTTAACACTTAGAACAGCGCCAAATGGTCCAAAAAGTTGCCACAATACAGCATCTTCAGTTTCAGGAGGAAGATTGTACACAAAAATACACCATCCGGTGCCAACGACACTCCCACAAGGTGTCGAATTTGCAAGTGCGGCTAGTTGTACTGGTGAGGTGCTAGTACCTGTAAAAGTCTTATTTACTTCCTTAAGAATTTTCTCCAGAATAAAAACCATTCCTTTCCCAACTGTGTATAAAAGGGATCCATTTTCTTCTACATTTTTTTTTTTTTGACTGCTAATAAATTTTAAATTGTAATGAAATTGCAAAAAATCCGAGTATAATACATGAGTATGATAAACATCTCATAATGGATCTCTAACAAATTTTGCAATAAAGAACAAAAAGTTGAGCATAATTCTAAGATGGAATATTCCGGAAGACCGATATAATGCTGTATATTCAGTAAAACTCAAGTTAGAATTAAAACATCGTGTTTTCAAAAAAACTCTAAATTAAGACTCTAATTAGAAAACAACTTCCATTAAATAATAACTAATAAAAATTTTTACAAGACTTATTCTCGGAATTAAAATTTAGTCTACCTGCTCCAATTAAACAAACATAAACATAAATATGTCAAACGATACCTAAAAGAAGAAGAAATCTCTTTTTTGCTCATATTTTTCTACGAATTCTGGAAATTTTTCATGTGTATCTAAAATGCAAATACATGGTAAGATTTGATTTAAATTTCTACCAGTGGCTGCAGCCATTTGCAACAGTTGCGTTGTAATAAGCTCAGGACTAGATGTCGTTGCTGTGGTTGCAGTTGTTGTACCAGGAGCTCCAGCTAGTGGCGTGTAGCGGAAACGTCCAGCCTGCGGTGTGTGATGTATTGGACCGGCACCAATTCGCCGTCCAGATGTTGCGGAAATTGAGCTCAAAAGGGCAAGAGGCATTAAAGCTGATGCTGCTTGCGCTATCTGAAAATAAACGACTTACTCTATTGCTAAAAGAAACTGAGATAAAAAAGGAAAGACGAAAAACCTTGCTCCTTGACGTAAGACGGAAAGATCTAAATGAACGTAGAATATTTTGCATGCTGGTATAAAAGAAATTTTGGCATGAAAAAGTTTAGAATTAAATAAATTTCATGTATATGTTTAAAAAACTTGGAAAATAATCTTAAAGTGTTTATCAAAATTATAAAAGAAATAAGTTTACGGATTTTCAAAAAAAAAAAAAAAGAAGAAAAAACTGTGACATATGACCTGAAGTTGTGCTTTTTGAGCATTTGCTGCAGGACTATTGGCAAATTTAACAGTAATCGGTTCAGTGCAACCAGCAGGAATTTTTCCATTTAATTTATCGATAGCATCTTCAGCTTCGCTTTTCCGGTCAAAACGTACAAAACCGACACCTTTTGATATCCCTTGAATTAATCGATTAAAAGAGAACAAGTGAAAACTGCATAAAAACATTTCTTCCCATCGAATCATACAAAGTTTTCTATATCTTAATAAATTTAACTAAAATGAAAAGAAACGCTATAAGTTATGGCATCAAACTTATTTAACCAAAGAAAACGTGTAGACGTAGATTAAAATTACATAATTCATATCTTACCAGTAACATTGTCAGAGAGGATTCGTGATGTAATGATTTGTCCGAAAGGCTTGAAAAGTGCTTCCAAATCAAGCTGACTCATCGTTTTAGCCAGACCACTCACGTATAAATTGGCTCCTTTGATAGATTCGCTGCTCGGCCGTGCAAATGACACCTTAAAGAAAATAAGTAAAAATATTTTTTTCGTCATCAGTACTAGCATTTTCCATATCGCTTTTTGGACTTGATATCAAACCATCGCTATCACTAAGATTATTTCATAAAAAATGTCACTTTCCACATTTCCTAACTCTTCTTATATTTTAGTTGAACATAAAAGAGATATGATAGTTATGGATAAGAGTTATTTGGGAAAAATAAACAATTACATCATAAAGACATTAACATAATCATTCCTACTTCTTGATAGGATTAATTTAAACTCATTTTAGGATTTTTCATGTTGTTTCACTTTTATTTGAATTACGACTGGTAAGAAATCCGAAATTTCAGAAAGCTCCAGAAATGAGGGAGTTCCATGCAGAAGTAAAAATATTTCGCAATCCAATAACAAACAAATGTTATGAAAAACAACAAAATTTTTAACTGAAGCTTGAAAAATCCAAAAGAAACATATGAAGCAAATCAGGAAACACATACAAAAGAACGATTAAAAAGCGAACCTTTATGGTTTTGTTTTGTAACCTGAGGCCATTTAATGAAGTGACAGCCTTATAGGCATCCTCTTGACGGACATAATTAACAAAACCGTAACCAAGACTCTGACCTAAAAAATTGAGAACTGAAATAATAATAACAAAAGCAGTGAAATGTAAAGCAAAAACACAATTTCTCAGCGGATTAAATTCAAGTGTATAAAAGTTAATAAAATAATTGCCAAAAATTTCAAAACATAAGTAGAACTGTAAGAAAAAAAAAATCAGCACTGAAATAACTAACACAACATGCCATTTCCACAAAATGATTCTAGTTAAAAGCAAAATTCTGTTAAAAGTAAAAGCAAGTAAAAGAAAGTTTGGAAAGAGAGAAAAAAAAAAAAAGAAATAAAGTTTTATTGGTTACCAACGTTGACAAAAAATGTTTTTCGAAAAGAGTCATTGCGGAAATGTTTTAAAATCAACAAGAGCCCAAGGCGAGAGATGGGTAGTGAGCGATCAAACATGAGCTTTTTTTTCTTCAAACTAATGATTTCTGAATTGGAATATCTAAATTTTGTTCTTGAAACTTTTAATTCAGTGAAATTCCTGCGAGATCCGAAGCTAACAAAATGTCTTGCAAAGCTTGTACTTCAAAGAAATAATACAGTAAGAAATAATTACGATTCTTTACTAAATTAAACAAATAAGGGATTATGGCTGTTTTTTCCCATTTTTTAATATTAGTTAATTCCTAAAATGATTCTTCGTCACCTGGCCATTGACATAAACAGAAAATTCACAGACCTTTTTGTGAACTGACAAAAACCTACTTCTTGGCAGAAAATAAAATTCGTTTGCATAAAAGATTTTAACACTTAATGACAAGTGATCTACTATATAGCGTGTCCCACGGTGAGGTGAAGCTTAATCTTACTAGTGAATATTATCATAAAACGAAGCAAACAAATGCAAAATGTTCAAAATTAAAAGATTTCATACAGATAAATGGAAGAAAAACGAGTCCAACACATTTAAGCACAAAAAAAGGTAATTTTTCCGAAAAATTTAAAAAATCGATGGAGATGGAGTGAAAAAACACAAGAAAATTGAACTTGAAGATTGAACCACAAAGTGACTTCCCTACTATTATCAAGAACTTTTCATTTTGTGACTCTGATACCAACAATAAGGTATCATCAATGCCAGTATCACTTAATAATTTTGCAATTTGTAATTTTCCAAAAAAAAAAAAAAAAAAAAAAACGGAAACCAACCATGGTAGTTAAAAGTACATTAGAATAAAAGATATTAACTAACCAGTGACTTTGTCGCGTACGAGTTTACAGGAATCAATTTCGCCAAGGGTCGAAAATAACGCATGCACTTCTTCTTGAGTCATATTCTGTGGCAAATAATTAATAATCAGATTTGTCGCTTTCGCTTCACCATCACTTTCTAGGATGGGAGAATTTGACGGCAACATGGATGATGAAGCATAACACTGAAAATTAACGGTTTTTGGGAATTCAAATCTATTAACTCCAACAAATCATGGAAAATTTGGCATGATTCACTAAATAGATATAAAACTTTACAAATATCCGAAAGAAATGCAAAAAGCTCAAATTATCAAATATTTATGAATAAAGTCCAGGAGTGAGAGCTCATACTTCTAAATGTTTTATTCTCAATTATTAACTGTTTTTAGAATAACTTCATTAAATTAGGTCCCAATTTCCAACAAAGAAAAAAACTAGGCCACAAAACTTACACAGAATTATGTAATATACTTAGATATCAATTCATTAGCTAAATGAGGAACCTGCCCTGAAATCAATAGCTCCATATAAAGCAGTATAATTCTTATCTCATGTACAAAAATGTGAAAAACATATAGTAAGAAAAGTTAGTTAAAGTACTAAGTTAACTTATTTCTTCATACAAATCAATTAACCAATTAAAAAGGACATAGTCTAAAATAAATTAGATTTAATAATTTCACAAAGATTAAGTTACTGTCCACCTGGTTGCCATTTCCGTTAGATAGAGCTTGAGACTGCTGCTGTTGCAAAACAATGGAACCTGCTTGACTATCCATAACTATTCAACTGCTCTCACACGCAAACACTTTCCGCTTGACAGTAAACAGTTACCAAATCTTTGAAATGATTCTGATTTTGTATTTGACCACTTTTCAGAATATGTTTTTGGCACTGCAGAATCTTTTTTCTCGCTGAAAAACAACGAAAAAATTTTCTAAAACATCTAAACGATTAACTGTTTTGCAAGAAGACATATCAATCTTGTACTCGTACTGCACAAGCTGATATCAGCAAAACCGGAGAAAACACGCCCTAAAAGCACATAAGCAAAACAAATAATATTAAAGTTTGGAAAATGCATGAATTGCTATAAAACCATAATTCACCTTCTACGGGTAGGTGGTCGGATTCGAAAAATAACGGCTCGAGCCTCAAAACTCCATTCACCTTGTTTAATACTATTTTGAACTGTTAAGAAAAACAACAGCTCCAACTATAGCAGACATCTTTCATTTCAAATAATCCTTAACAGCTAAAAATTGGGTTATTTGGACTGATATCAACTTATTAACAAAATTATTAACATTCCAATTCCATTAATGTAGAGATGAAAATATTCCGAGTGATACAAAAATGGGGACTAAACTAAATATAACAAGTTAATATTTTATGAATAAATCTTCAACAAAAGTGACGACATCATTCAAAAATGATCAATAGGCTTTCACGAGAGGGACAAACCGATTTATCGCTCATCACTATTTCATTTCACGCTTGTTTGAGAAAGACACAAACCGTTGGCTTGATACAATTGAGTTTTCCATAAAATCGTACAAGATTAGCCAATACGGACTGCAGTTCTTTGTTTGATATATACACTACTGGAAAAATAACATAACCCTTCACTAAATCACTACCGTTCAAGTACTGAACAACAATGGAGATTCAATCTGGTGTTACAATTAGACCTTATTTTGGTTAGTGATGACAAATAAACTTCTTGCTCTGGGCTGATAATAATTACTAGAATCATTTTAATAATTGTCTCTAAATATTTTCTTCCAACTTGTAATGGAAAATTAAAAAAAGTTTAGCAATGATCAATAGTTTTCGGATAAGACTTGATATAAATCAAAACCTTGTTGAGTGCAAGGATACCACAGTTGGTATATAGAAGAGGTTTTTTTGCACAGTAAGTGAGAACCGAGACTACCATACTTCAGGATATCCAACAAAACTCAAAAACTAAAGAAAACTGTAATTACTAATATGCCAATCCACCAGGCCACATGTTATTTCACACCAAATCCCGGAACTTCCGGAAGTGCCCATTTCCACAAGAGGCCGTGAAACTATAGTATGTCTTGCAATGCAACATTCAATGAATCAGCAATTTATGGTCATATGATCTACGACTGATTTCTGGATTTTTGATTTTATATTGTGGGAGCATTCAAGATAAGCCATTTTTTATATTTAATGAAGTCGGTTGAAAGTTTCATATTGAAAGACGATAATCCAATAGTAGCAGACTTCTCTGGGTTGCCTTATGAGTCGTAATAGATTCTAGTACGAAATAGTTGCTGATTATCGAGAATTGCTTTGCTGATTTTTACTCGTTGTGTCATCATCCATAGATGTATATCTCATGATTAAAATGATATAAAGAGAGAGAGAGAGAGGGGGATTTTCATACGCTTTGACTGTATCGATATTTATCTTATACTGTGCGTGGTTTTGCAGGTTACACAGAATACTTAAAAATGAACAATTTAAAAAAAAATACTTAGGAAAAATGAAAATATTTTGCAATTGCCTTTCCTTTTGAAGTGATAAAATTACGATGAGAAAACAAAGGAATTCATCCTATAACCAATTGAAAACCATGCAAACAATGCTAATATCGAAAATAAACTTAGTACAAATATATTGTTCTTTAAACAGGAATTCGCATAGGCAAATGTCTTTTTTAATTATCAGTTATTTCCGCATTTCACTACATGCAAGTTCAATTTGTGATAACAATATTAAGCTCAAGAAGAATAGAAATTAATGAACTTTTAATTTCAAAAATTTGTTTTCAATCTACTTTGATTAAATTTCATTTTCTTAGCGAAAAGAGAACTGGTGATACGAAAGCCCTTTCAAAAGCATAATAAAGTCTAATTCCTTATTAACAGACCAACTTTATTATTGAAATAGATAATGACAAAGCCAGCATGTCAGAATTTGGTAAATTATATATCTTTTATTGTTGACGTAATTAACATTGTAACAGAGTTATAATATGAAGATTTTGGATTTAAGTATAAAGAATTCTAAAATTATAATTTGATGAAAAATAGAATAGTTTAATTTGGCATTTCAGCTTTCGTAGGAAAATTTCATCTCCTTTAGATAGTAGCATAGATATTGCTACTCATTCAAATAATATTCGTGATGCCAACGATAATTATTCGTTGGCATCACGCTAAAACTATAGGAAAAACAAAGACTGTATAACAGTTGGATAATCATAAAACAATCGCCGAAAGATAAGTGCCCTTAATGACATATTAAAATTTAATTAATAGAACTCGGAATTAAAAGACACATCTGTTTATTCTATTGTTCTTGTTATACATTGACCTCTTTCCCACCAGAATCTTCCATATATAGATGCTATTTTGATAGGTGCTTGGATTGATAAGTAAAAATAAAAAAAACAATGAGTGGACAGCAAATGGACATCATTTGGCGTAACATGCTGCTAACTTGAAGGAAACTGATGTGTGCTCAGCACCTTCCTAATTAATTTTTATTTTGATTATAAAATGAATAAATTTAAATTTTAAGACAAGCCATTCATTTTTTGGTGACATAGTAAGGCATATAATTAGTAAAAGTGGTGTAGCAGGACAGCTTGTTAAGAGTTCCTATTGGGTCATTCTGGCTGATTACTTTAAAGTTATTTCTTAGAGGATCATTCTTCTCATAGTGCCTAGAAATCAGCTTGCCAAATTGCTAATGAGAATGAAATGAAACAATGACAGCGGATAGTAGTGAATGTTATTATTGTCTCTTGTCGAGCAGAACACTAGAAGAGGAAAGACATCGATGTTGATTGCAGCAGCGAAATGATTGAAAGAAGGACGACAGTGGGATCAGTACAAAAACGGGAATGGATTCCGTGTTCCCTTTATAGAATAGATGAGGAAGTGTATTCTGTGTATTCTTCTAATCCTGTGCTTGCAATATTCGTGATTCCCACTTTCATCGTGAGTAGTGGGCTGCTTTTTGTTTACATCGCTTCTAATCTAGTTTTGAAGGTCGAGACTTAGGTTGTACAATTTTGATTACTTTAACTTGCGTCGCATATAAAAAATCACTGAAAATATGATTATGTTTCTGCGGAAACGAATCTTCTTGAAATAAACCAGTCTGAAATTACGGATCATTCATGGATTAAAAAAGAAAATAGAAATTATTAATTTGAAGCACAATATCGAAAAAGATGGACAGTGGCATCATGTGAAATATTGCGCTAAAAGGTTCTGACATTTGTATGAAAACATGGTTGAAAATTCAGATCAACGACACCAAAAATATGCAGTATATGAATATTTTAAAACGACTTGTGTATTCAATATAGCAGCTACATTTTTGAGAGTAATTGGAAAGTTTGAAAATTGAAATATTATGATTGATATATTTCACCTAAAAGGAAACGACTTATGCTTGAGATCATATTATTAAACTAGTGCAATGAACGTCGCGAAGCACCCTTCAGACTGCTTAATTTCGATTTGGAGAAGTTTTTGACACCATAATGGCATCACATTTAGGACGATAGGAATTAAAAAATGAAGTGTGACCTAGCCTAATTGAGAATTAGTACCTTAAGTCGAAGTACACACAAAAATAGTTTTATGGAGATTCACTGCGTCCAGTACAAGGTAGATAAGCTGATTTGTTTTCAAATTTCTTGCAAATCACATTCCGCATTAAAAAATGGCTCACTCTTTTTATAATACTAACATATATGAATGATTATGTGCAGTCGAAGTATGCACAAAAATGGTTTTATAGAGTTAAAGATATTTAATTTTATCAGCATCACGAAAGAAATTTAAAATCCCCAGTAAAATAACTCCTACCACAACTATTAGAAACTTGACGAATGCATTTTTTCATAGGATATAGTATCGATTAATATATCACTCTAACATACTATCTCTAAGCGTTATAACACTTAATATCATGAAACAAGGACCATTCTTTCGTTCTCGACTTCTCTAAACATCACGGAAAAAATCACTTAAAATGTTGCATTGTAAATATCTTAGTTAATTGATTTCTTTAATGGATTTTCGGAAATCACCTTTTGTAAATCCCTTTGATATCTGAAATCACTCATCTTTCAGTTGAATTAATTTATTAATCAAACTTCTAAAGGTATTTCACTATTCAAATCACCAATATTTTTGTAGGGTCCAAACTCTGCAAACTTTTTTCACATTCGACCAGACAACTTCAAGAAAATAAAAATGAATTGTATGAAAATACGATAAACTATATTTGATTTATGACTTCTCTCTTTCGATTAAGCTAGAGAAAATTTTTGGAAACAAGCACTAACATATGGAATTAATTCATACCAGATCATACTAGAATTCATACTAGATCTTTCTCTTTTGGTTCCATATAATTCACAAATAGTAGTGGATTAACTGAAGAATAGAAACTGAACAGTTACAACCTATCATATTTAGGGTTAACAAACCGACAGGAAAGTGAGATAATTTTTTTTGAGCAATGAAGCTCGATGTACTTATAATCCATTTCAGACATTAATTTTGATCGATTAAAAGAATAGTCATTGATGTGTTTCCTTTGTTTAGCAAACCATCACTTTCTCAGTGAAGTGATTAAGACTCTATCGATGTCGGATGATGCCGAAGTGGTCATGATGCATCTCTCCACAACATAGATTAAGAAAGTTCGAAATCGACGGTGAACAGTTGTGAAAATAGAAATCGATGAATTTAATGGAATCAACTAATCGAAATAGCTGAAT